ACATGTTCCAGGCACAGCCGGTGCCTCCCAGCCCCATGGAGACCACAGTTGGTGCCCAGCGTCTGGGCAGACAGCAGAGAATGTGTGAACATTCACACAGTATGCACAGTATACTGTGCACACACACAGATGCATGCCCAGCACACGTGTGTCCACAGGCATAGACTTACATTAGAAGTCTTGGGTTTAGACTGATCCCTTCCCACTGAGTTCCTGCTACCCTCTCCCCTTGTCACTGGAATGGGCCTGAGGTGGTCCCTGAAGCTGAAATAGGAACCTAACCACGCTTCTTGTAGAATAAGTTTGCAGGATTGCTGACTCACATGAAAGAAACAGCTCTTAGGACTAGCCTTAGGAAGAGGCATGGGAAGGGTTTTATTAGGCAGAAATTAAAAGGTTCACACTCAAAGAAATAGAGTGCAGGCCCTCAAGGGAGAGAGGGGAACATTATGAGCCAGAGCTAGATATGTTTATGGGGTCTTGGAGGTGTGGTGATTCAGGCTGTGTGACCCTACTGTCTGTCAGGCTCCTGGTCTGCTAGGCTATATCAGAATGCGAGCTGTTTATGTGTGTCTGAAATTGAGATTTGCTGCATTCTTGAGGATGGAGGAAGCACATTTACAGGTGAAAAGGCCACCACCACCTGTAAGCCTGTTTAAAGACAACCTAGTAGTCAGGAGCCTCAGAGTGGGCCAGCATGGGATGGACAGTGGCATCTGTGGTGTGGGAAGGAGCAGCCTCGGAGGTGGAATGCCCCAGTGGCTGCTCCTGAGGTCTTGAGGGCTAGAGGAGACACAGGCCAATTTATAGGCCTACTATGTTTTTAGACCTTTAGGAATTTCTTCGAGTGAAGTTTCTGAAAGAGAAGAAGGCCTGAATAACTTTTATGTCCTGAAGCCATAGGAGGTGTTTGTTTGTTTGTTTGTTTGTTTGTTTAAGTGTAAAGAACGAGAAGCAGAGACCAACTGAGACCTCCAGGCTTGTGTAAAGGCAACATAGTAGGAATTTATTGCGCCTGGGTACAGGAGAGAGCGAAAAGGCCAACTGTAAGGGACAAAGAGACGTGGGCCTTTTTTATAGGGATTGAAAGAAGGCAAGGGACATCAGGCAAGAAGATGTTAATAAACATCAGTGGTCAGAGTTCTCTGGCTGTCTTGCATCTCAGTGGGCTGAGTCTGAGGCCGCTGGTGTAAATTTTCAGATATTTCCAGATATGTGGGGCCCTGCAAGATTCCTTGTCCTGTCTTAACCCTTTTGACATCTTGTGTTTGCTGATGACAGCCTCAGTGCTGAGCTGAGTCCCCACGGAGAGCAGTGCCTCTGCTGGCAAACAAGTTGGGGGCTGGGAGAATCAAGTCCGATTTGAGCCTTACGTTACATACAGTTTTTAAATCCAGATTTTTTTGTCTCCTTTTTTGCCTATTTTTAATTTTTTTGCTCTTTTTTTTTTTTTTTTTTTTTTTTTTTTTGGTACCGGGAATTAAACTCAGGACCTTGCACTTGCCAGGCAGGCAGTTGTGCCACTGAGCTATCACCCTGGCCTGGTGCCTTCTTTTTGCAATGGAAAATTTTACGCATTTGGAAAGGCACATGGAGGGTCCAGAAGAGACAAGAAAACACTGATTGCGCTGCTCACTGCCCCGAGCACCGCGCACAAGGCCGCAGGGAGGGGGACAGACGGCGCTGCCGGCCTGGAGCGCTGCGCTCTCTAGAGGGGCCCTGCCCCCCAAGCCCCTGGAAGGAGAGACGAGTGGAAAGAACCACGTCACTCAATGCCTTCACCAGCCCAGTGACAGCGCTTCTCACAGGAAGCCAGGGCTGCACCCGGGGCCTGGACACAGCAAAGGACTCCACCAACAGGCCCCTGGCGGGGCTCCGGGGAAGCCAAACGAGCCACGGGACACCACCAGGCTGCTGAGCGGGCCCAGGGCCCTGGCCACCGCGAGAGCAGCTACACAGCCCCAGCAGATCGGCTCCTAACTGAAGGGGCGCGTGGCCTCACTCCTGCTCAGAAGCCCGGCGTGAGAATGCCTTTAACGCTTTGCTCTCGTGTTAAGTAAAGCACTGAACAGGCTGACTTCCCCACCAAGATGTGCACACTGAAACCCTGCTCTACCCATGTGACAGACGTCCCCCAGCACCGGGAACGGCCGACTGCAGCCGCGCACCTAACACGGAAGACTTTTACTCAAGGCTGGGTGAAGTGGCTTTGTTTACGTAAAGAATGAGAGCAGGCCAGGCCGAACTATTCTATTCGGAGACCCACCCACAGGTGCTGGAACGGCACAGCAAAGCCGGCCTGGGTCTGCCAGGTCGGGAGCAACCCAGGCGGGTGCGGCACGGGTCGGGGTGCCGGTTACCGCGTCCCCGCCACAGCGTGCAGCAAGTCGTGCGCAGCTGCCCCCTGCAGCGCACCTACTACGTGCTGCTTCCCTTGCGTTGTTTTGCACAGTAAAAGTCAAAGAGTGGGTCTGGGAACTTTAAAAACACAAAGCTCTCTGAAACCTACACGAGAAGGAGAAGTAACGCGCGTGGAATTGTAACACCAAGGGCCGGGGATGTAGCTCAGCGGCACAAGCGCCTGCCTAGCAAGCTCAAGGTCCTGAGTTCAATTCCCTATACCACAAAAATAAAAAAACAAAAAAGATAGAAGGAACTGTAACACCGCATATGGAACACAATCGAGCACTTGGAGCAGTCCGTGCACAAGTCTTGGTAATGGCCCGGATAACGCTC